AGTTTCATAGTTTTGATGGAATTCTTTGTTGAAGTAACTGGTATTCTTCCATCTATAATCACCACTGCATTTTACACCACCATATTAAATGATATGTACTTAATTATATATTGGTATTGAAAATCGAACACATCGGATTGAAAATTTTGTTTTCGAAGTTTTTGGTTTGTTTTTGGAGGTGCAAAACTAATTTCGATTCTGGTTCCGGATGTTTTGGAAATTGAAAATCCATTCCGACTTCGGAATCTTGACAAAAAGTTAATATTATAAATATTTTTTTGTTGGAACTATCGGAATTGTGGAATATTATGAAAACTAAAACTGAGAGCGCGAACCAGAATTCCCGAAAACTTTTTTATAGTTTAGTTCCGATTAAATTAAAAAAAAAAATCAAACATTTGGAGTAGAAATTTTTAATTCAAGGTCGAAAATTTTCAAATCCGAAACTCAAATCAATTTTACGGTGATCGAATTTATAACTATCCTGCGATCGAGCTCATAAGCAATGCGGTAATTAATGAAAAAAAAAACGCAATTTGCATTTTTGTCATGTAATTGATTTTGTTCGATTATATTTTAGGGCAAACTACGGCCACCCCCTAGAGATAATGTCAAATTACGAAAAAACCCACTCTTGTCTAGGTAATTACAGCTAACCCCCTCAACTATGTATTTTCTTACAAAAAAACCCTTCCTTCGGTAGGTAAATTTGACACCGTAAGGGTGAACGTGTAAGATAATACATAGTTGAGACGGGTGGTCGTAATTACTCAAACAAGAGGGGTTTTTTTTGTAATTTAACCTTACCTCAAGAAACAGAAAGAAAGATTCCTAATAAGCAATAAAGAAAATAATGAGGAAGTGTGGTTAATTACCTAAATATCCAAACTCGAATACCATTGGCCATGAATTCTTTGAGTAGAGGAATAACTGTCGATGGGCTATCTAGCCATTTCTTGAGCACATTGCTGCAGTTAACATTACATTTGGGGTTTTAAACATTTTAATTAAGATAATTAATTAATTGATTAATTAATTAATTACCTGCATGGCTGCCAATCATAAGGAATATTCTTGGTGACGTTTGCATGGAGTGCCTCTTGAACATCTGGCCTATTTAAGTATGCATATACATAATAGTCACCACAAGGATCAAGATCCAATCCCTGCATTAAACAAATGGTATTTTTTATTATAATTAATTAAAAAAAACAAAATCATAATTATATATATAAAAAGGGTAATTAATTAAATTACCACATCTACCTTGAAGTTTGATTTATTTACCAATTTTCATTATAAAAACTAGGGGTAGAAATTGAACAGATTCGAAAAATCCAATACTTTTCGGAAGTGAAAACTAATTCCAATTCTGTTTCAAAAAAAAAAAAAATTTGGAATGAAAACATTTGTTCCGAAATTGGAATTTTTCTGATCAAACCGGCGACATTACTGAATTTTCAAAATTCTAGTTACCTATTGCATAAAATGTAGAAGTGTAACTTTCGGGTCGAAAATCAGAATCTAATACGTATTCAAATTCAGTTTTAGAGAAATCGAAATTGTCATAATTGGGAACGAAAAATGTTCTGAAATCGAAAATTTTCGTATCGGAACTTACCGAAGTCTTCTTGGGCTTGTCGGTGAGGCTGGTATTTTTGCACAAAGGAGCATAAATATTATAAATATCAATAGAATTAGTGTCTTTTTCAGCTTCACCAGCAGCTTCATTGCATATATTTGACTGTGTGGTGGCATTTGGGGTGAAATCGCAATATTTCATAATTACAGCTGTCGTCTCATCAGATACCAAAGCATGGCTTCCGAAAAATTCATACATCCCTTTTACATCACTCTCATC